GAGTACGTGACCCCAGTATAGTTTTGACAAAATTTTGCAAAAAACCCGAAAATAATCGCTTTTTTGACATCCTTAGAATGAACTTTTGAAGTTAAAACTTTGAGAGAATGTAGTAAAATTACCAGTTTTTGAAATGATGTATATTTTATATTGTTTTTGCTTGTAATTTGCGAAATATTCATACTCTAGTAGACGTTGTAATAAATTTCCGTTAAAAGTCTTGCCAACCTTGTCATAATAATTAACTGAGTAGACTCGATGCATGCCCGAGCGCCACGCATGAGGGTAAAAATTTCAACATGCACTTTTGGGCTGCCTATGGGAATACGTTGCAAAAAAGAATCGTGTTAACGAAAGATCCATTGGAAGATTAAAAACGACCTACAGGTTTGTCCTGTTATCTCTCTGCTAACCAAACTCACTCATCGCGATTCATTCTTTGTACCGATTGAGCCGGAACTGAGATCAAACCCAAAACGCTCTTTGGTCCATTCCGCCGTCGCCGCAAACCTGAGAAATTATGCTGACACTCCAGATACGATCGTTAATTTATTTAATCGGTATTTCGCATCGGTTTTTATCCTCTCTCGCAGACACCATTTTGACCAGCGAAAGCTCTGACCGCAATACAATAGGTGATCCAATTTTATCGGAAGTGACGTTTACCATCACAGAAGTCTTGGAAATACTATGCAACCTTGACACTATTATCATCATCATCATCATCATCATTTCATTATTTGGTGTTTAATGATCATCATTATTTGGTGTTTAATGACACATTTTCGCATAAACAATGAATTACAATGTGTTTACATTCAAAGTCAAATTTAGTTTATAGTTATTTACATGGTCATAAAATTTAAGGTTAAATAGGTTAAGAATATTATTAATATACAAGTTAAGAATATTAAGTTAAGAATATTTAAAATATAAATTGTCCAACCATTTAATCTAAGGTAGATTCCTTCCTCTATTTCATGGCATTCAGTTCAACAATTGCTCTTGGAAAGAAACTGTTTTTAAAACGTTCAGTTCTGCACTTATACAATGACAGATTATTTTAGTTTCTAATATAATATTGTTGAGCACAAGCTCTAGATCGTGTCACGTGTTCAGCAAGGGGACCTGCACGTTTAGAAATCTTCTGTATAAAGGTATTTATACAAGTTTCGTTTCGCTTGTCGCTAAGTCTTGTGCAATTAGCCAATTGGAGAACTTTGTCGTATGAGTGGCCAAGAAAATAATGCACATGGCACGCTTTTGTACTCTTTCCAGTTCGTCAGACAGATAGCGGGGTATCGCGTAATTCCACACCTCACAACAGTATTCCAGAATAGAACGAATAAGCGCGAAGTATATGTTGGTAAGATCAGCAGGAGGGACACCACCGCCGCAATATACCCGAAGACCGTATAACCGTTTGGAGGCTTTGGTGACGATTGATCGAATTTGCTCGTCGCATTTTAGATTGTTTTGGATAATTAAACCCAACACTTTCTGCGATTGTTCCGTTTCTAGCACGTGACCATCAATTGTCAAAGGTGGTAGCTGCGGGGTTTCTTTAAGAAAGGAAATCCGGAGCTCTTTGCACTTTTTGGTATTCAATTTCATACAATTGCAAGTTGCCCATGAATCGATAGAATCAAGAGTTGAACACTGAGTGGCCGAGAAACTGTTCGATGTAAGATTTTCAGAAGATGAGACATCGTCTACAAGTTTCCACATTTTCATGTCTGGGGAATTTACTTTCAAATCATTAATCATAATGAGGGACAATATTGGACCAAGTTTAGTCCCTTGAGGGACCCCAGCTGTCACTGGGAGCCAGCTTGAAAAGGATTCTCCAATTTTAACTCGTTGTCAAGAAAGTTTATAATCCAGGGTATTAAAGACCGCCTAACGCCCAGGTCTAGCAGTTTTCCAATGAGAATATTGTATCCAATGCGGTTTGGATTCTTTCCAAATTCTCGGGACGACGCTAGAGGAAAGGGATGCATTAAATAAGGTGGTAACTGGATTGGCTAGCACGTGAGCAAAATCTTTTAGAAATCGACTTGGTACATTATCAGGTCCTGTTGCTTTATAAGGTTAAAGAGCCAATAGCTGTTGACAGACCTCGTAAGGTTGAACGGATAAAAAGGCGTCGTTAGCCGGGAAGAACGCGGGCAGTGAATTTGCATGAAATGTCGGAATATCCACGTTGACAGAGACGTAAAATTCATTAAGGGCACTTGCTAGTTGTTCGTCGTTCAGAGTTTCCCCGTTACCACCGGACCTGATGAAATCCCTGCAAGAATTTTAAACGAGACAGCTCATGAAATCGCGGCATCTCTTTGCGAATTATTCAATAAATCGCTAAGATTGGGTGTCTTCCGGACGGATTGGAAGTTAGCTAATTAATGTAGTCCCGGTATTCAAGAAAGAGAACAAAGAGCATGTCGAGAACTATAGAGCAATCTCGTTATTATCAATAGTGTCAAAAGTTTAAATATGCTGGAAGTGCGACCAGGATTGAACTTAATGATTTTTGAGACGTTCTCTGGTTGGCAATTTTTATTCACGAGCTTTCGGCTGCCAGACTGCAGCCTTCAACGGGTAGTTATAAAATACAGTGATTACAGACGACTACGGTTTACAATTACAGATCGGAGCATACGTCTACGCTACGCCTACGGTTAACAAAATTACAGTGACAAACAAATAACTGGAAGTGATAGTTCCGCCTATATATAATAATTGTTCTATTTCTTTAATAAAAAACGGTATTGTTCTGGTAAATGTTTGGAATTATTGTCTGCATTAGCTGTGAGCGAGGTGTGCCAAGATTCCAATGTAGCTCTGTGGGGGTAGTTTGCCTTGTCGATTATCTTGCCATTGTAAAAATCAATTTTATGGTCATAAGACCAGGCATGATTCGCAATATTTGAGCCCGCTTTGTGTTTCTCTACATTCTTCACATGTTCTTTTTTATATCGCATAAATTTCGCCGATTGTTCGTGGAGCTACATTGGTGAGACGGGTCGAGCGTTTATCACACGGAAAAAAGAACATGTGAAGAATGTCGAGAAACACAAAGCGGGCTCAAATATTGAGAATCATGCCTGGTCTTATGACCATAAAATTGATTTTGACAATGGCAAGACAGTGCCTTTTTAACTATATATCTGGGGATGCAATTGCCCCCCAGGGAAAGAATCCCCCAATTTCTGCCCCCGAAGTGCGAAGCAGAATTTCTCATGATTGCTGTCAGAATTGCAGTTGATTTACTTGATAATATGAGATTATGCCCTTCCATAGCCTCCTCCACAGCCATCTTGTGTGTAATACATATTGTTCTTCACCTAGTATTTCATAATAGCGATAGATTTCATGCAAACAATCCGATAAAATGCTGGTTCCAAGAAGAATAGATTTAGTTTAGATTTTTAACTGTTAAATACATGTATGCATCATCATAGCATGAATATTTCTTCTCAGATTTATTCTGTATCGTATGAAAAAGCAACGCAATTTTGAGGACGCGGAAATGTTGTCTCATAGAACCTAAACAACATTTCTGATCAAAATCACATTGGGATTTTCTCCCCCCCCCCCAGCATCACAGAGAGGAAATAAGGTGACACTGACCCCTCCTCCTATTTTTCAAGGTGACTTTTCCAATTTATTTCATTCCGAGTAGAAATGTCTGGAAAAATTCATGTCTTCGATGTACTTTATAATCTTCGGAACTCTTCGGAATTTCACTCCCAAAATGCTTGAAATCGCAATTCAGGGACCCTAGATTTCAAAATTTTCCCGGGGGTACATGCCCCCGCACCCTCCTAGACGGTCTCACACCTTCGGCGTGAGATTCGCCCCCCCCCCAAAAAAAAATAATAAATTAAGGTACCACTGAAAATACCACTTCAACCATGGAATCAAAACCAACCCAACCAAATCCACCCCTAGAAACCCACCTCATATCCACCATCACTACTCAGAACAAATTCTCGGCCTTTGACAATGAAAGCCCTGACATGCCAAACAGTTTAATGCAAACACAAGAAAAAGATTCCCTAACAGAAATAAAAGCAGACACTGTTATCCTTTGCGATTCCAATGGAAGAAACATAAATCCAACATTACTGTGCCCCAACTCCACTACCAAATACCTGAAATGCCCTACAGTAGAACAAGCTAGAGAAATCCTTGACTGACACAAATTCATTGAGCCTAAGACCTTTATCATTCACTGTGGTACAAATGACATTGAAAAACTACCTACTGACAACATCTCCAAACAAATGAAATCCCTCCTATCATCAATCAATCAAAAACACCCTCAATTTCGGATAATACTCTCCTGCCTCCTCCCCCGCGACGACAACCTCCTTCAAAAAGCTCGAGACCTCAATGAAAAACTAATGAAAACTGCAAAATAATTTCCAAACACAACCTCTGTAACCCATGCAAACCTATTCCAGTCCACAAATACTCTATGACAAGAAACACCTCAACGACAAAGGTTTCAGAATCTTTGCAAAAAACCTTAAAAGTGCATATTATGGAACCCATCAGAAAAGAGCAAACTTTAAACCAAAACCATATCCCCATCCAGCCATCAGACCTTATCCCCAACCACTACCTTTCGTTCCACTGCATCATTCATCCCCTAACCCCTCAACTTCAAACTACCATTAACACTCCCCCCAACGCGCACACACTGGCAGCCCAAGCAACCTGATGAAACCATTAAATGGTAATACCAACCAGAAAATTACTGAATTGATGAATTTTCTCCACAGACTACTCCAATGATTTTGTGAGTACCAATTAGTTAAATCTATACCTTTTCTATTATAAAACTATTACCACATCATTAATCAATATATAACCTAATTAACCATACTAATCATTATATTTAATACCTAGTTTAATATAAATATGCAAAACATAATGCCCCAAATTTATTTTGGGTCAGTCAACCTTTTTCCAATCATTCGAAAACTTGCAGAGAAATGTTTTCTAAGCTATCAAGAAGTGCTATAAATGGTTTAAAGCATTATACTCTTGGTAATAAGCTAAGCAAAAATGACTTCATAGATAATATAAAAGACCATGATTTGATCTTTTTAACTGAAACATGGTGTAAAGAAATTAATAGCATCCCTGGTTTCAAGGCAATATCCTCACTTACGGCAACCCCTAAATCAAACTCCAGTTGGCGTCTGTCTGGAGGAATTTCGCTTCTATCCAAAAAAGAGTTTGAAAATATCATTTCTCTCGAAAAACGAACTAAAAGTTTCTTGTGGTGTCGAATAGACAACACAATCCTAGACTCTACAAATGACTTATTTATTTGTGGAGTCTATATTCCTCCTCAAAACTCACGTTACTTTGACGAGGAAATACTTGATGACCTGGAAAATGATGTAGTGTATTTCTCCAAAAAAGGAAATGTTATGCTGCTGTGGTACTTTAATGCCCGTACCAGCAAACTTGAAGATTTTGTCTCAATTAAAGAAGAAAATACCTTCATAAACGATATTACTGAAACCTCTTTTCAACCGAAAATGAGGGAAAGTTTTGATAACTAAATTAATAAACATAGCAAATGTCTGATTGAGATTTGCAAAAACTGCAATCTGAGAATCCTGAATGGTAGAACCCTTGGTGACTCATTTGGTAAACCCACTTCTCACAGCCAAAAAGGCTCAAGTGTGATTGACTACATAATTTGTGGGAAAGAACTAACCCAAACCATCGAAAACTTTATTGTCAAACCACCACCTTATCTATCTGACCATAGTCAACTAGTGACATGGATTAAAAGAGCTCCCACTCATGTCCCTATCAGTAAGACTACTCACACGCAACAACCTAAAACACATAGGCTTCCACAGCAATTCATATGGGACAATGACTCAATAACTAAGTTTACAGAAAATCTTAAATCATTTCAAACTCAACAAGATCTTCAATATTTGATTAATTCTAATCCATCTTCTTCGAAGGAAGGTGTCAACTTGTTTGCCTCAAAAGTAGAAGATTTAATTATGCATGCTGCTAAAAAATCCATGAAAATCAAAAAGAAGAAATAGAGAAATAAAGCTTCCAATGTCTGTAATAAAAAATGGTTCGACAAAGAATGTCGACTATAAAGACATTCAGTAAGAAGACTCGCAAACAAAAAACACCGTGATCCCGTTAACACCGAAATAAGGGACAAATACCATGCCACACTTAAGATTTATAAAAACACTCTAAAACGCAAAAAAGAACTTTTCCATGAAAAAAACTAGAAGAACTGGAAAGAGTTTCTGTAAATGACCCTAATTCCTTCTGGAAACTCTTAAAGAACATGAGTGATGACTTTGGGACCCTTCCATGAGCAAACCAGAAGTCTCGGCTAACAGCTGGCTCACTCATTTCCATTCCCTATATGCTAAACGTACGTTAGAAACAGAACAGAATAACATTTTACAAAAATTAACAAAACTTGAAGAAAAAACACCAAATAATTTTATTGATGAACCTATTTCTGAAGCGGAAGGTTTGAGTGCTGCAAAGACATTAAAAAACACAAAATCTGCTTATTCCGACAAAATAAAAAAAGAAATGCTAAAGCATGGCATCAAAATATTACTTAAGTTATACCATAAACTTTTTAACCTCGTTTTAAAAACAGGCCATTTCCCAGATCAATGGTGTGAAGGTCTCATTACGCCAATTTTTAATTAAGTCAGGAGATAAAACTGACCCCAATAACTACAGAGGAATTTGCGTGACTAGCTGTCTCCGTAAATTCCTTTGTACTATTTTAAATCAACGGTTAAGTCAATTTAGCATTGACAGAAACATAATACACCACTCCCAAATCGGATTCCAGTCAGGCCACAGAACAGCTGACCACATTTTCTTCTTAAAAACAATAATTGATAAACACATAAATCAGAAAAACGAAAAAATCTATGCATGCTTTGTGGACTTTAAAAAAGCCTTTGACTCTGTTTGGCACGAAGGCCTATTTTTAAAACTGCTTGAAAACAAAATTGATGGTCAATTCTACAACCTTACTACAAGTCTATATTCAAGTTCTAAATGCGCCGTAAAAGAAAGTAATATAAATCGAACTGAATTTTTCTCTTACTCCAAACGAGTGCGTCAAGAGTGTATTTTGAGCCCCCTTTTATTTAATATCTATATAAACGAATTAGCAACATTATTTGATAATACAGCTGCCGATCCGTTTATACTACCAAATGGGACTAAACTGAGTTGTCTTCTATATGCCGATGACTTAATTTTATTATCTCGATCAAAATTAGGCCTACAAAAATCTCTAGACGATCTCCATTGTTGGAGAAAAAAATGGATTATGGAGATAAATTTGAAGAAAACACAAATAATGATTTTTTTTCCCTGTGTTGGTGTAGTGTACTCAGGTGAATATGATATTTGTGGTGTTACTCTGAGTGTATATCCACACCGGGCGAGCTTGAAAAATATGCCCGGCCACGGTGGGATTCGAACCTACGACCTTTGGAATACTAGCCCAATGCTCTTCCAACTGAAGCCTTCTAAGACAGGGCACAGCGCTAGCCATGCACAAACCTGCATAGAGACCAACTCTCCTTCCTTGTGGCGAATCGTTGCTCGTAATTCTTCCAAGATCGCTGTGCCACCAGATGGCAGATTCCTGCTCATTGCGTTGGACAGAGATCCGAAATATCACTTACTCGAACCGTCCTGACCGCGTAGCTCAGTTGGAAGAGCATTGGGCTAGTATTCCAAAGGTCGTAGGTTCGAATCCCACCGTGGCCGGGCATATTTTTCAAGCTCGCCCGGTGTGGATATACACTCAGAGTAACACCACAAATAACAAATAATGATATTTGAAAAAAGAAAAACAAAAAAGCATTTCTTTAATCTTGGAAATCGGAACATAAAAATCGTACAGGAATACTGTTACCTAGGAGTCAAACTAAATCACAATGGTAATTTTACTCTAGCTCTAAAACAACTAAGCGAAAAAGCCTTGCATGCTTTATACGGTATAAGAAGACAGCTCAATTTCAGCCATCTCAATCCCAAATATGCCATTAAAATATTTGATTCAATTATAACTCCTATCCTACTATACAACTCGGAAGTATGGTGGACATACGTGAAAAATGG